TCTCTCTCTCTCTCACTTCTTCCCTCTCTCATTGTAGAGATCAGGCCTCTCCGGGAAAGTAGATTCCAGATCTGATGTAGGCATGGTCGTTGTCAAGCACAACCGTTTTGCTGATGGTTCCACCCCTTCTGAAGAGCCACCCCCGCTCTTCTCCGATTGAGCTCCCCTTTTCAAGTTCTTGGGGTTGAACTCCTTGTTGTGATCATCTACTAAAGATGTCATTTGGTCGCAAAACGATGGGTGTTTCTTGGTCCAAAATTCTTGCAACGCTTCTTGGATCACAAGTGTTCCATCCCCGAGAGCAATAGTAACTGAGTAGTTTGGCGCAGGTGCCTGAGATGTGGACTTCTTCAAGTCCTTGATGGCTGCTTGGAAGTCAGGGAACCCGGGGATGGTGTACTCGGCACTGCGGCACATGGCAAAGAGCTTGTTAGCGATCAGGCCAGACACAAATGAAGCCTCTGACATACTGTGGCACACAGTCGCCACTGCCCACTTCTTTCCTAGCAAAAAGACACCACTATGGAAAGAAGGAATGGACTTTGTCCTGTAGTTGGCAATGTTCCACTTGGCTTCAGACTTGCTGAAATACACTTCGTGTTCCTGAATTGAAACAGCCCCCCTTTTTATCAGAAAATGTTCCCAGATCTATCACTTGTTGAAGTTAAACCAAGTGGAACATTACAACCTTTGGTCTTGTTGTTTTCAAGTCTTTCTCAAATTCCTAACTTCTAATGTTATCTGAGTCGAAGTGCCACGGGCGCATTGGGAAAGAACATGCATGGCTGGCCAGCCATCAAAGCCCATCATGTCGATCACAACTGTGGGAAGCTCAGCGCCACCAGGGTTTGGGTTCAAGCCCTCCAGGACTTTTGAAATGAAGGATATCCCACCACAATACTGCAGGGTTCAGGTTCCAGTGTACAAATTGTTTTTTGGTCATTGAGGGTGGGTATTATTCTTTGATGAGTTCTTTGATGTTGAACCAATCAGATGAAACTCTATGGAATGTCCTGCCTGCTTCATCTCCTGAACCTTTGTGAAGCGGGTGTCCACTCCATAGCGGTTGTCTGGTCTTGGAGGCTTCAGCATTTGCTGCCGGGGCAACATGCTGATGTCAGTCACCAAAGCTGTTTTCCACAACTTGCTTTTGTGGAAAATGTTGTTTCCTTTGGAGCTGGTCACCAGAAGGATGTCCTGAAACCCCACACGGTTCCCGTAGAGGGTGCTTGGCTCAAACGAAGCCACAGCTTGCTTGACAGTCAAACCCCGCTCCCTCTCCATCAGGATGCATTTCAACCTGTAATTGAAATCTCGCAAGATGGCGTCTGAACAAGGTTCATCTTCGGATTCATGGTCAGCCCCATCACCCTCAATCTCCCCATCACCTGAACTGGTAAATTGATAAAATCAGTGATATTGTTTGTGGTAAAGTAAACTAGAAAGGCAGTGTGAGCATGTCAGTCCCAGAGTTTGTTCCCAGGGTATGCGCCTTCAACTTCATCCTTGCAGAGTTCCTCATCGTCGGGGGCCTTCACCTCAGACCTGGGTGGTTCTAAGGTTTTTTTTTTTTTTTTTCAGACATATGTTGATGATTGTTTGGCAGAACTATTATGAATTTTGGTTTGTGGCTTAGTCCCTGGCTTTACCCCAGATCTCAGGTCTCCAGCGCGGTTGGGAAGAACTACCACTGCCATGAAGCTCTTAGTGTTTCCATGGGCTAAAGTTGTTATTTGGTGCAGCGCAAACTGCATTTTGGCAGTGCTCAGGACACCTTGGGTAGTGAAGTTCACATACGCTACAGTGCACTCGTGTTCCACTCGTCGAATGCCTCCAGCCATCCCTGCCAACACTTTGCTCAACCATGGCTGAAGTGAGGCTTCCAGCAAACCACTGCAATCAACGTCCGCCTCTGGACCTAGGATCAATAGGATCAAGGGGGGCTCTTAGCCATGTTCATTCAAGAATCTGGTGGATGATAGGTATATAGGACCATGAGGTTTCATGGTGCTAACATCATCATGGCATTCATTTGCTGCAAGGGTACTGGAAAGAGAGTTTTTCTTCGAGTGGGCGGCATTATTCCATGTCGGTGCCACTTCACTGATCGTGTTGTTCACTAGCTTCCATCCAATTTGATGCATTTTCTGACAAGGTCAGAAAGAGAAAAGCCAACACTCTGAACTCTTCAACCCTCAACAAGTAACACACACACACACAGTTTGACTTGGTCAAATTGAGTTGAAGAATCAGTGTCACTCCAAGAGATGCTCAGGCCTCCAGCTGTCCAACGATGGCCGCGCGCGCACGAGCTTCATCGCCCGAAGAGGCGAGCAAGTGCCGACGATGCAACAATTGGTCTGATTCCAAGTTTGTCTTAAATAGGTTGAAGCCAGCATTCAGGCTGGATTGGAGGGCCGAGCTGATGTTGCTTTGGGCTCGAGAGAGTTCTTCTTGTTGAACTTCTCCCTTCGCTTCCAAAACGAAGGACAGCTTTCTGAAATCCCAACCTGGTTCCATGTTCTTGGAGTGTGCCCTGAGTTCTGAGTCCAATGACCTGGGCCCAGTCAGGAGCGGTTTGTAGTTCACCTGCAGAACCAACCTGAATACAATACACCCCACATGTATTTTAGTTTCATCATAGTTGCATAGAACAATCTCAATAGAAAACTGTGTGTACTCTTTGCTTGCTAAGGAAAGATATGTGAAGACAACCTGCACATTCTTTACCACCAGAATCCACCAGAGAAAAACTTAGACCCATCTAATAAGTGTGGCAAGGCGTTTTGTACACGGGTCTTGGAAGGTTCCAGGGATTTTGTACACGGGTCTTGGAAAGTTCCAGGGATTTTGTACACGGGTCTTCGAAAGTTC